GGACAGTAATGAGCTCTTCCATAAATCGTAAGCAAAATATTGTCATAAGGGGCGCCCCAGAGTCCACGTCCTGCATTCCGAAGGAACGAGTGACGCACGACCTAGACCTTCTTCATCAGTACGCCAGTGCCGTCCTGCGGGAAGGGGAAATATTCACCGTTAAAAAAGCTTTCCGACTAGGCAGAGCGGACCCAAATCGTGACCTAGAAACATCATCAAGACCCCTGAAAGTTATTTCGGAAAACGAAGCCCAAGCAGCGCTTTTGTTAGAAAGTAGAACGACCTTACGCAATTCGCACAAGGAAGTGTTTTTTCAACCAGACTACGAACCGAGGGAAAGACTGAAAATGAGAGAACTGAGATCAGAATTGAAGGAGATAATTGGCAGAGGAGAGAAAGGGCTGAAGATCAAAAATGGACAAATAGTCCAGACAAAGGGGTCTTTCCTGTGGTCAGAACCCGTCACAATGAAGGCCGGGTCTCTCCAACAAATCAGTCATTGAAGGTTATATCCGCAAATGTGCAAAGCCTCTTCAACAAACTAGATGAACTAAGAGACTTAGTTGATGAAATTAAGCCAGACATTATGGCATTCACAGAAACGTGGCTTACTGAAGATATCGCAGATTCAGAAATATCACTTAGGGGATATCAGCAATTCAGGAGAGATAGACTAAGCCGAGGAGGAGGAGTCATAATTTATGTCACTTGCAAGCTAAGCGCTATGGCTGATGTACACAGACCGGTACGGGATGTGGAACTGCTAAGCGTTACCATATCTACTAAGAATGGCCGATCATTGACGCTTTCGGTAGTGTGCCGTTCACCTAACCATACTTCTGACCAAGATCTCATACTCATATCCGAACTGTACCAAGCTAGCGAGAAGAAAGACGTCCTTATCGTTGGGGATTTTAACGCTCCTGGCATTGATTGGCTAACGTGGACTGCACAAGGGCCGCAAGACAGCTTTAATCACAAACTACTACAATGGGCAACGGACAAACTTCTCTGCCAGAATGTTACCTTTGGAACACGGGTCAGGGAAGGGCAGCAGTCGAACTGCCTTGATCTTATTTTTACCCGAGAGGAGGAAAACGTGTTAGACCTACAGGACCGACAGCCATTAGGGTCAAGCGACCACATCACGCTCTACTTCGAGTACTCACTGTTTTCCAAACCCGTCCAACCCGAGAGGTGGGAGAGGAACATTTGGAAAGGTGACTATTCTCTCATGAGGAGTGAAGCGGCAGCTATATCATGGGAGACTGAAATGCATGGTCGAGCAAACGATAACTGGAACACTTTCAGTTCCTTACTGAAAGAGATTGTTTATTCCAATTGTCCTCTTAGACGGAAGACAATCACAAACCGCCCAAAATGGATAAACCCGGACTTGAAGGCCTCTTTCAGAAAAAGGAATCGTCTGTGGAGGCGTTACAGACAAACTGGCTCCGACGAACACTTACAGGAATATAAGCGGCAACGAAACGTCTG